ATCACTTCCCTACTCCTGCTGGCCACACTGTTTCTGATACAGACCAGGATGCCATTGGCCTTCTTGGCCCCCTGGGCACACTGCAGGTCGAGTTCAGCGATGGCACCTTCACATGAGCGGTTTTCTCCAAGACCTTCTCTACTTGTGATTCCCTTCTGCAGTGTTTGGTGTTTGTTTTCCCCTTCTCATTTATCCCTCAGTCAACCTGTATTGAATCTCTGTGTGTATGTATGGACTTACAGTAGAGAAGGAGAGTAAGCCGAGATACATTTTGCAACTGGATGTAAACTCCCTTATTTTTTTCACAATTGTGTGTATTACTTACTTGCAGATCTACCAGAGGTTTTGCTGGTTTTTTGCCTGGATACTTTATCTGCCTTCTCGTGCAGTAGTGAAAAACATGCTGCATGCTCTGCAGAGCAGAGGGAGAGATGGGGTCTTCCCTGCCACCGTGCTCAGGGGATCTTTTGACTTAATATGATGAGTGGGGGCAGGCAGCAACGGGGAGGGATGGAGAAATGTATGGCAGGGATTGCAGCTTGATGTTGTGGCCGCAGTCCTAGTGCATACCCAGCTGGGTGGTACGGTTAAGGGCGGTCATCAGGTACAATAAACTGGGAGAACATCGGGAACAGGGAGAGGCATGTGCCCTGGTAGGAGTGAGGACTCAGCTCCCACTGCAAGTGAGATGAAGCCTCAGACTTCCAAAGGCAAAAAAATTCATACTGAACGCAGCTGTACTTCACTTGGCTTAGCTGGAACATGGTCACACATACGGTATCTATATCAGATCCAAATGCCCAAGCAAAAGAGGCCAACCTGCTTATTTTCAGGGTTTACGAGCGGTGTCACTTGCTGAAGTGTCCAGGGTGACTTAAGCCACAAGTTGCAGCAGCCAAGTTATGAAACTGTAAGAAAGTGGGTGTATAATGGAAACGGTGACAGAAGGTTTCGGGCTTTTTTAAAATTTTTTAAACAGTCCTCCGTTTTGCAGCCCAGCTGTTTGACATTCACTGAACTAATATCTGGAATGGCTAAGATGTGAACTATGGCTGAAAAGAGACTTGGGCATCCAGCTCGCACAACTGCCAAGTCCTCACCAATCTCTCAGGATTTCAAAAGTTTGCTTCCAGAGCAGATGAGGACAGGGCTTGGCTGGAGTATGGTGGCATGTCATAGCTTCGTTAGTCCCTGTTAATGCTTGTAAGGCTTGGAGTGAGGTTTGGCAAAGCGAACACCATGACTTGTGCAAACACTGCAGCCATGGGGGCAGTGTGGGGAGAGCTGCAGAGCTTGGTGACAGCGTTTAGCTGCTGCGTGTTCATGCTGAGAGCGACAGGAGCTGTGCTGAGCTTAGAGAAATTCAAGCTGAAGGAAGACTGAGCAGATGTAGTCAGGAAAGAAGCCTCAGGGGTAAATGTTTTATCATAATAGAGGGTCCTGCTTGCATACAATAGAAATATGCCAGCAAGAGGCTCCAGTAAATGTAGGCCTGCGTTTCCTGTACTGAGCAAATGACATGGTGTGGGCAACACAAACATGACACATGCACTGAAAAACATCTTTTGGCAGGTGCATGTGTGACACAGTATGTGTTTTGTTCACAGCTTCGATGTGGAAAATGGTCCGTCACCAGGTCGCAGCCCACTGGACCCGCAGGCCAGCTCCTCGTCAGGACTCGTTTTGCACACAACATTCCCGGGCCACAGCCAGCGCAGGGAGTCGTTCCTGTACAGATCCGACAGCGACTATGACTTATCACCAAAGACGATGTCCAGGAACTCTTCTCTCCCAAGTGAACAGTAAGCATAAATTCAGCTCACATCATATTTTACAGTAACTAAGAGCTTTACATGGCCTCCTCTAATCCTCAGAGCTCTGTTAAGAGGTGCTTATGGGTGGTACTCACATTTCATAGCCTGAGTGCCCAAGACGGTCGCTTTTGCAGTCTGCCAAGGCATGACTTCCCTCTCCCCATCCCATCCTTGAAATATTCCCCTTTACTTCGTAATTTAGCAGAAGGGCTTTCAAATCCGTACCCTGAAACAATAGAGAATTTTTGCATTTTACCTTTCCTGGTACTAGTTCTTCACGTTGGAATTTGTGTTTGGGGTGTGAAGCGCTTGCAGCTAACTGCAGGGTAAAGCCTGGGCGGTGCTCAGGGCAGAGACTGCTGCGAGCTGCCCACGTCCCTGCTTGGCCTGCCGGCAGGAGAGCCCTGTCACTCCAGCACTTGGCTTGCTTGGTGATTTTCTGCACTCTCTTTTCTTCATTATACTCTCATCGTGCATTCTCAGAGCCTGGTTAACATCATCTCTGGTTTTTCTTAAGTAGGTAACGGTCCATTAGCCTGGACAATAGAAATATGACTGTACTTATATTTACAATATTACTCTTCTCCATCCTGTTTTCTGTCATGGATTGTTCACTAGAACTGAGTGGAAAATACAGCAGAAAGCCGAGGCAGATGGTTGAGCTTGAGAGGATCAATACAACACAGAGCGTGGAGCTTAAATGAGTGTCCTGGATTTGCAGCCCTTTATTTTAAAAGGCACAGTTTAAAGTTTTAAAGTGACCATTAAGCTATAAAAAAGCGTTCATAAAAAAAGGTTAACTGTTATGAAAGCCCTACAAGTTTTGTCATGAAATAGAAATCTAAATATTAGCGAGATTCACGAGGAGAATTCTCCTGAAAGAGAACATCCCTCCCTGTTGGTTAACGTTTAGTAAATATTTACCAGAGACAAAGTAACCACTCCAAATTATGCAAATACCATGTTTTGTGTAAACGGTGGATTTTGACAGTTGCCCCGTGTTCCCAGCAGTGTGCTAGGGGAGACAGCTGTGCTGGGGTGGGGAGAGCCCCGTGCAGCTGTGCCCAGCACCTTCATTTCCCCCAGCTTCATAGCTGCCTGCAGTTAGAGGTGTCCATTTACTGCAGGCATCAAGGCTCCTGCGGCACTCGGGGGAGCCGACATCTCCACGCTGACCTGTTTTTGACATCAGTGTTGAGACAACTTTAATGAAAATGTAGACTTAGCAACACTGATACCTGAGTAGACATGCTCTGTGGCAGCACCACCAGGGAGAATACCCCTTTGAAGGGGTCCAGCACTGGTGGACACCTCTCTAGAGGTGCCCGTGGCAGCCTGCAGCCATGCCTGCTCTCTTGCCTGCAGCCACTCCTGCTCTCTCCTGCCTGCCTCCTGCCTCGCTCAGTGCATCAGGTGCACATCATACAAAACACCCGGAGGGACGGGAGCCCACCAGCAGCCGCACTGGATTGCCTTGCTTTCCAGCCACTGTCAGGTCTGTGCTGCACAATAGCTCTACCCTGCCATGTCTCAGTTAGGTAAATCATACTGGATTTTTCATATACACACAAGTGCTATATATAATATCGCGAAAAATCCCTCTTATTGACAGTGACGATGTATTTTACTCAGAACTTCTGCTCAAATCTTCCATGATGAAAATGGCCGGACGTCTGAATAACATTAAAGACTGTGACAAAGATCAACAAAAGCCAGGAAATTCAAAGCTGACCTTTCCCTGGACTGTTACGGTTTTTTTTTCCACCGCGGTGCAAGCATGCTGCCTTAACTTTTGAATTTCCTGCCTTTTATTGCCTGGTGTTACCAGTCTGAACAGTCGCTCCAGCCGGGTTGTTTTGGATATATACTGCGAGACCCTTCCGTTAGGAGCGTGATTGTATGATGTGTTAAATAAACGCTGCATGGGTTAATGTTTTTTTGTCACGGGCGCTGCCCAGGGAAACCTCCCTCTGCAAAATGCTCTTTCTCTGGGGTGAATGACACCCTGTTTGAGGTAAATTTACACATTTTCTCCATTTCTCCCTAGGCATGGGGATGACCTGATTGTCACACCTTTCGCCCAGGTAAGTTGGCAGCCTGTTGGCCTGTCAAATTAAAAAAAAAAAAAAGTAAAACCTTAAGTGGAGAAGTTAACGTCTCCGGTTTTGCCTCCCTCGTAGGTGCTGGCAAGTCTACGAAGCGTGAGGAACAACTTCACGCTCCTTACCAATTTGCACGGCACCTCCAACAAGTAAGCCCATCGTTTTTCGTTCGCTTACGGCTCGCACGCAGCGGGGGCCGGCGGGGGCGTAGCAGGGCCGCCGCCGACCCTGCTCGGCGCCTCTTGCGCGGGACGCCAGGGGGCGCCAGAGCGCAGCCCGCCGGCCGGGTCCCGCCGCCGTCTCCCACAGGGAGCGCCCGCGGGCGGGCACCTCTCCGCGGCATTGCCTCCCCGGCGGCCACCGACCCGCCGAGCCCCCATTCCACTTCCTCAGGCCTGTCTATGCCCCCTCACCCCCGAGAGAGGCTCCTGCCCCCCCCGCAAAGAGGCTCTTGCCCTGCCAGTATCGCAGCCCTCACTGTTCAGTCATGGCGCCTGACTGGAGAGACTGGAAAAGCATGGCGAGCCTGGGGAGGGAGTGATGTTCCTGCTTGGGAAGAAGGTGTGATGTGTTTCTGGGCATGTTGAGTGTGTGTGATGTGGTATCTATCTTCCGCACTTTGCCACCTTGGCTGTCCCAGGCATTCGTTAGGTGCCCAGCTCGGAGCGGAGTCGTCGTCGGTGTTCGGCTGAGCTGTGGTGCTGCCCTGCATTTCCACCATTGTTTCACAAGAGAGGCGGTCATGGCCAAAGGGTAGACGCCAAGGAGGGAAATGCCAAGCACGAGGCTGTGGGGACAGTGAGGGTTTCCCCGATAGGGCAGGCAGCAGCGTCCTGCAGCTTGGCTCTGGGGGGCTGCCCAGAGAACTGGCCTGTGCTGCCTGCAGGCCAGGGATCCTACATTGCTTTGTTTGACACTGTAATTGCACTGAATGGGGAAGGTGATGCACTGAACTTAAGAGGAAGATGTTGTTTTTTATACCTGCTGAACAGGAGAAACCAAACAAACTCCTTTTTACGCCTTTGTCCGGAACCACCGTTTCCCCTTAGCTATTTATAATGAGCCAGTCATCGTCATTTTCTGTCCTGTTTTGCCCCAAGAGAGCTGTTTTGCGTGAAACCAGCATCATTCGTTCCTGGCGACGTCGGTTACGCACCCACCCATCCCACCCTGAGACTGGCAGGCACTGCTCGCTCAAAGTGTCCTGCTGGCTCCTGAAGCAAAAGATGAGGTGCAAAAGTGCACTCCAGCGGGACGCCGCAGGCTTGCTTCACTGCTGCACACGTGAGTGGCATCGCCTGGGTGCCCACTGCAGACTCCGCTTTCTACCTTCCAGTGCAATCTTGTATTTTACGTAAAGCCCAGCATTTTATCCAGGCATGAGGTTTTCCTCCCGTTGATTTCTGTTTGCAAATTTTGATCGTAAGGAACTGCCACATTCCAAGATGGAGGTTAATAGAAAAACAGATGGCTGAAATAGATTCCTTTTTTTAAGCTTTGCTTTTTTGAACAGCTCGAGCATTTCAGCAGTTCCTAATGAGGAATCTGAAATTGGATGGGGCCGGAAGGAAGCGAGGGCGTAACCTGTAGGACACAGAGGCATCTTGCAGTGTCCTTTTGAAAACATTCCCAGATTTGATTAGGTACAAATTCATGTGGCCAGCCAAAGTAAAAGTCATTAAATGTTTAAACCATTATATACCAAACATCCAAGTCTGTGGCGGAATGTGCTTCCAGGCCCTGTGGAGCTTCCCGCACAGTTTCCAAACAGCTCTGCTGGGTTACAGCCGTCCTGCCAGCTCATGATTTTATCATATGTCTCATGATATGTGGTATTTTACTTAAACTTCTGCTCTGGGGATCATGAGAGTCTCAGCTTTTCTTTAGCCCCTCCTGTCCCCTCTTTTTTCCTCTCCTCCACCCCGCTGCCCCAAGAACAAAAAAGAGGATGCTGTCGCACCTATTTACAGAACTGCTGGAAAATATGAATGTTAAGGGCTGGAGGAGAAAAAACAACCAGAAGTCATATTTTTTGGACTTTAACGTCAGGGTTTTTAAGACAGTTTCCTGATTGGAAAAGAGGAGAATATGATTAATGGTTTCAGAGTGCCTGAGTTTGGCAGATGCAGCCCAGGACACGGTCAGAAAGCATCTGGCGCCTACTCCTCTTAATACCCACCAGCAAAAGAGAGGGAGTGGGAAGTGGGAACTGTGTACACTTGAGCATGGTGGTGTCTAAGAAGGGACAGTGCTGTCAAAACCCAGATCTCTGGGTCTCTGTTGCCTGCGCCCTGGCTGCTGCAGAAACCAGGATGAGCACGGCCAGGACTTAATTCGAGGATGCCGGGAGCGGTGCCGTTCCCTTTTCAGGCTCTGCAGCGGGGAATACCCTACTGAATACTAGTTCATCCCTCCCCGCCCCCCCAAAGGCATGTCTGTGCAACTCAGTGCAGGGTTTGGAGATACCTGGAGCACATCTCCCCAGATACTGGAAATGCTGCAGCCACAGCGTGGTGTCCCTATTGGGGAGTTTCTGTTTTTTAGAGATTTCAAGATTTGGCTTTTCAAAGGCTCAGCAGAGGCAGGTCGGGGCAGATTTTCAGAGAAGTCGACATCTAACATGTGCGCCCTGTGCTGAACCCTTCAAAGAATCTGGGTCCCGCAGCTCCCTCCAGAAAAGCCGAGCCTTTGAAATCCCAGCCGGCAAGCGGGTGCTGCACCCAGGGGAGCCTGCTGGTCAGGAGCAGGCTTTGGAGCCCAGCCAGCCCATGCGCTGCCAGCAGATCGGGAGGCTGGGGCCGAGGGTTTGAAGCACAACTGTAGCTGCGTTACTCTAATGCAGATCTTACCTGGTTAGCAAGGCCTTCCTGGAGCATTTCTGAAGAACCCCCTGGAGCTACAATTGCAGCAGAATTGAGCCACTCAGTTGCTTTGATTTTAGCTTCAAAGGAGAGCTGGCAAATAATGGATGTTTGAGTTCAGTGGCTGACTCAAAAAATTGGGGTTAGGACGTTGGCTAAGAGAGAGTGTGGGGAAATCTGGCTTCAGTTAAAATGTATCAGAAACTTCTTAGGGAAGCAAAAGCCCAAAGTTTCATTTTTGGTCAGCCTGAAATACCGCATTCAATCCAAAATGAAGTCTCTTGATTTTGGTGTCAACTCTTTTTAACTTCTTTAAAAAAGAAGTCTCTTTTTTCCCAAGTAAATTATGGTTTCAACTTGAAAAAGTAATAGTTTTATTTGGCAAATCTCACAATGAAATATTTTGACATTTGGAGAAATACTGCACCCTTTTTCCAGTCAGACCCTGTTTGCTTGACTTGAACAATTTTTCAAATAGCTTTTGGTCCTTCCGAAATCCAGGCTTTTCTGATGAAATTGTTGCTCCTAGTCAAAAAAAATCTCCTTCAGCTGTTTCAGAGCTTACAGTAGTGACTGAAGCGTCTTCTTACTTGCTTCCAGGTGCAATTCAAACTGTTAACTGTAGGGTTTAAAGCCAGATATTTCTCACCTTACCTATGGTATTGCATTGCAGCCTGCACACTGGTGTAGCATTTGACATTACTTCAGGGTCCAGTCCAGACCTTGTAGGGAAAAGCTTTTCAGGAGAAGGCCTTGGTTTGGGGGGACCCACTGACCTCTTCAGCCACAGAGACCAGCCCTTGCTGACTTCCAGGCATATTTTGAGCAGAAAGTTGCAAAGGCAAAGTGTGGGATGATAGCGCATCTTTCCCAGTATGCCTTCTTTCCAGCATGTGTGTGTGCCTAGCCAGGGGACATACATCTTTGGGTTTTCCTAACAGATATATTGATACTGCTCATTAACTGCCAAATAAAGTAAAGTGTTTTGGGCTTCTTTGTGAGTATAAAAAAGGATTTTTAACTGTGGGAGTTGGCAGTTTGAACTGCCAACAGGGTTTGAAATGATAAAATAATACCTATTTATAGAGTATTCTTTATCCCTCTTAGGAGATCTCCAGCAACGAGTCAGCCACCTGTCTCCAGAGTTAACCTGCAAGGTATGTGTGTGACTTTGATAATCACCTGCAAGGTCAAATGCAGATGAAGGCTTATTGCACATCATTTTGCTAACAGCTGCTTCTTTGCCCCCTCCCCCTGGTGTAATTCTGGGCTCGTAGAGCTTCTGAGTTACTTGTGCAAAACCAATACAAGAGGACCATCAGAGCCAAAATATTGTTATTTTAATAGTTTGGGGTTTGGGTTTATCCTTGTATGTTAGCATAAAAGACGAACATGATTTTGGTTTGATAGTCATGGCCACAGTGACTGCTATTCTTCTGAGTCCCTGTGCTGCACAGGCCTGGACAAGCCCCAGCCTACAAGCCTTGAACAGGCTCAGACACAGCTGTATTTTTTTTATCCTGTTTATTTCAGTTTGTTTCCATGTGATCTATGTAAAAATTGCAATATCAAAAACCTTTCTCAGGTGAAACTTCCTCTGCTTTTATTAGGCTGCCCTGGAATGGCATTTTCTTGTTTCGTTGTTTCCTTGTGGTCTTTTGAAATCTACATTTAGCAATCGAATGAGAGCAGAAGTCAGTGAGTGTGGCTAATTGCACCTTCTTTCCTGTCTGCTCCCCCCCTGCACACGGTGTCCCTCAGTCACCTTGTCCTCACCCCCATGTTGGGTCAGAGACCGCAGCAAACTCAAGCAAGTTTGACTATGATCATGGAGGAGAATAACACTGAGCAAAGCCTCCAGACGGAGGGCACCGGGCAGTGCACTGTGTACAGCTTGTGCTAGAACCCAGGCGAGCGAGGGACCCCCAAGGGGGCTCAGCGTCTGCCTGGGGTGCCAAAGCAAGGTGGGGTAAGCAGCAGTGTGAGCCCAGCAAGCGGAGGCAGGGAGCAGTTGTGGTGGGAGCAGGGGGCTGCTCAGGTAGAATGAAGTACTGAGGATGGGGAAGCAGAGGCAACCTGCTTATGACAAGTTTCTTTATGTTTAGCCATGCAGTGCTGAGGGCTTGTGGGACCCCTCTCAGGAACAGAGCTGGCCCTACTTGCGCTAATTTAAAGGTTACTTCCACAGAGAAGGAGATAAGATTTGGAGGAGTGCCCATTTGTAAGGTTTAATCTCAGCCTTTCCAATAATTATGTGCTAGGAGGGACTAAAAGCTTAATTTTTACAGTGTGTGAAGCCTGGATAACTAACTGTCATTTCTTTTCATGCTATGTATTATTTACTGTCTGGGGACACGTATAGTCCTGGAGACTTGCAGATTAGGGTCCTCAAAATTTGTTAATGGAATGTGGAAACCTCTCATGCGTAAAGAAAACTGGACAACACGATCTTAAACGCCTTTTCCTTCGCTCCCTCTCTGTGAACAGTGTCGAGTCAGGGCTAGCAGGAATGCAACTCATCACTTCATTTAAAAGTCTGTTCTAGCAAGACTTTGATTTTGTGGCCTGTGTGAAAAAAATCATGGAAAAATTCATAAGCTTTCCATAGATCTGTTTATATAGGTTACAGAATCTAGTAACGAGGAGAGAATTCCCTTCCAGGAATTTTTAGATTAATTTTCTTAACACATTCTATAGAAACAGTTGCTTTCAACTTTTTAACGCTTTGAGGATATTTTTCTGCAGTATTTCCAACGTGAGCCTTAAGATACTTGTTACTTTTTAGCTAACCTAAGCTTCTAATGCTGGGAATACATGAAAATTTCAGCTTCCTTTTTGATTGAAGGGTCTGACACACATAATTGTAGATCAAGTTTTGTGTTACCCTGCAAAGCTCAAAAAGAGAAAGCAACTGAGAAGAATCCAACTTTTAGCATTTTTAACCTTGTGATCCTGACTCATGTTTTTTAATGTTTCAGTGCTAGTAATTACATGTGGATAGGTGGATATATCTAAAATAAATTATATTAACAACTTACCTGAGATGTGAAAAAAGAAAATGTCCAGATGTGGAAATGAGCCATGCTGGATGCATTTTCAGTATGCAGATTTTTATTTGGTAACAAAAGGACTGTGGAAGAAAACTGCAGCTCAGCAGCTTGTGGAATTTGTAAAAAGTAGAGAAGTATAGGCTGGATTCATGGCCCCTCAAATAAATGAGTTCTTAACCATGTAACTTAACTGACTTCAGGTGAAGGCTTCAAATGAAACAAAAAATGTGAGTTGTATCATTACAACTTAAGTGAATTGTGACAGTTTGTAGGTAAGAATAAGAAATATTTTTGAGATTGGTAGGAAATTGTGTAATTTCCTACCTGAAATAAGCCAGTATTGACATTGTTAGTGAAAAAGCCTGGGGTTCTTACTTAAATTCAGTTTCAGATTATTTTTGTTGATGAATTTTATCAGCTCGCACAGGATCTAGTCTCTAGGCTGAAGCAATCCCTTCCTGGCCAGCCTAAGACATTGCATCTGCCGTACTGTCACACCCCTGTGCTGAGGGCATCAGGAGTGAGCTTGCTGAGAAAGGACGGCAGCTCTGACACATTGAAGGAAGACTCTCAAAACCAGCCTGATAAAGCTGCCACACTCACTAGTTTACTATTTAGTGATAGTTTACAAGGCTTAGAGTTGTAGCCGAGAGAGGGGATGCGTTCTTCTCAGGTGAGGCCAGCACCCAGCCACCTGCCTACTTGCTTCTGTGATAGGTTGTGTACCCTCAGCTCAGGTTCTCCCCATGCTCGCATGAAAATAGAGGTGTAGTGAGGAATGCCGGTGTTACTCTACCCTGCAGTTATTTATTTTCTTATTTTGTGCTATTCTAGCATGTAAGCCAGGACCGTTCTGAATTTCTGACCTTATTTACTTGTTGCATTTGGTGTCCCCCACTTTGCTGCCCAGAGTGCGTTCCAGGTTTCTGCAGAGCCTCTCGTTTCCCGTGGAGGCTGTAGTCATTCTGTACGGCAGTTGCCATGATCAATTTGGCGATTGCCTTCCTTTACAGCCGTTGTTACATATTGTAATTCATTTCAGTATAGCAGAAAACAATGACAGCCGTTTACTTTCTAAGGAAGTTTCCATTTAAATGCAGCAAGAACAAAAATCTCTAGGGGATTTTTTTTTTCAGTGTTTGCAGCTTTTTTTCCCTAGATGGCTTCTGATTTGAAAATTATGAAAGGAAGGAGAGATTTTCCTATCAGATCACTTCCAGTTATGTGCCAATGCCTCCTGTGTCTGAAAGGACACAGAATGTTTTTCCTGAAAGTTTTGGAGAAGGAAACGGTAATGTTTTGATTGGGACTAGGCTGCGTTACATCCCTCTAGATAAAAGAATGTGTTTTGAAATGAAATGTGTTTATATTCCCTAGATTGGTTAGTTGGCAAAGCTCAGAATTTTATTTTAGCTCTCCCATGTCACACATTGACTCTTAGATTTACTACAATCAATTGACATCACTATGAGCACCTCGTATATGTCTCCTTTTATTTGTCGTTAGTGGAGTGATTTATATCCTGTTATGAAAAGTACAGAACTCAGGGTTTAAAGCAAACTAGCATACATTAATAAAATTACCCTGGAGGGAGACAAATTACATTCAGCATTTGCACTGGAAGTAATACATGCCAGCTGTTTACTCCAGCTAGAATATTACAGGATTTGTCAGTTGTTTCAAACAGAGAGGAGCCAGATCTGTTGCTAGTGTACTCCCAAGGAGTTGCATCACTGAGGACCCAGGCCCGTGGCGAAATGAATGAGCTGTGTTGAAATTACGAAATTCTTTCTCTTTTTTGCTTTCATTTTCTTGAAAGCATGAAGAATTCTGGCCAGGTTTTTCATGGGACAAAGTGCTTTCAAAGCCGATACTGATGTCACTGTAAATTTCAGAGCTTTCTTAACCTTATAACCACAGCCATAAAAGGAAGAGGAATATGTATTGAACATCCTGTGTTTTGTCCTTGGTATCAGCTTAAGTAAATCTGGCAGATTTTTCCTGTTATTTTGTTATAACTGCAGATCACAGGAACGAACAAAATTGCTTTTATGAATTAGCTGAGAAACCATAACATGGAAATATGAAGCCGTAGCAAAAAGTACATAAATCCTTAATTAGCTCATGTACTTCACAGCTGGGAAGGATAATGGGAATACTTCAGACCATGAGGTTCCTAAGCGGTGTATAGCATTACAGAGTGCAATTGCGCAGGGCCAGGATTGTGAACGCGTGCTACCCAACTACCTTCTCTGGAATTACAGAAACAATCGTATAAATGACAGAAACATTGTCGCACAAGTGTCTGTGATGTTTCTTTCTCCTATTCTCCTTTTTTTTTTTTTAAACTCAGCCTCTGCCAGAGTTACTTACATTGACCTTTGTGCTACCTTGGGCTCAGCAAATCCATCAGCACCTTCTCTTCTCGATTCAGCTCTCTCCTCCCCTGGCATCAGTGAAAGGTCTTTAGTTCCTACCCGATTGATTCAACTAATAAAATCTTTAACCAGCAACAAGTCTGGCGGTTCCTGCTTAGTTTTGTTCCTTCCTCCATATTTATTTACTTCACTGGCCCTAATTCCCTCTGAATTAAATCGTCTTTCACTTCACATTCAGTCTAAGCCCCATTTTCACTGCCACATTTGGTCTAAGCCCCTCATTCTTCCACCCATTTTGGTACAATCTTTTCTCCATCTGTTTTGCTTCCTTTGTATTTTTCCCAGGACTTTTTCATATTGTCCTATTCTTTCTCCCAGCTCAGCCAAGGATCGGTGCTGCTTGCTTAGATTCTCCATATCACAAGGCCCCTCCCTCACTGCACAACAATGGTCGTGTACCTGGTCTTCATGTTTGTCTGAACTAGCACAGGCTCTTCACGCCATCACCTTACCTTTGCAGTGCACGTGTAAAAGCCTGCGCATTACCTGTGGGCGCTGCCATAAATGGACCTTGCCGGTCATAGAGGTTGTGGAGAAGGCGCTATACCAGTCGTGATGCAACAGAGCAAGAAGCCTTTTCCAGATGAACAGGGGGACAGGGGAGAGGTGGCACATTTCCGCCGAAAGATCGATACCCAGATGGACAGTATTTTCCCATACTGGTTCGTT